TTGATTATATCTGAATATTGTCTAAATTATAGCGCTTATTTGCAGGATAAAGCAAAATCAATCAATCCTTTCAAGAAGGCAGGTATACTTTTAGCTGGGATTTCTTCAGCTGGGATTGCATACGGTCTTATATCCAGCTAAAAGTATACCGGTCTTCTTGGAAGGATTGATTGATTTTGCTTTATCCTGCAAATAAGCGCTATAATTTAGATAATATTCAGATATAATCAAGAAATATACTTATAAAATATAAAACAATAAATAAACAAACATGTATAAGCAGATATATATACGAAATTTCAATCTACTTACTTGATAGCACCAAATATATTTTCTGCAACAGATTAAATATAACCGTAACCTTAATTATGACGTCGCGATGCTACCGCGTACCGCGTCGCTTGATACGTATTATATACGTTACATATGCACGCACACGCACATACACATTGTTTCTCAAGGCGTATTTGCACACTCAAGCGAATAATTGTGAGCGCTGCAAACGCGCCTTGAGGGACAAAACCGCTTTGCGTGTGTGCGTGCGAGCATACGTACGTGAGAGTCTGAAACTTATGATACAATGTGTATGTGCGTGCATACGTATATGATACGTATCAAGCGCAGTGATGCCAGAATGCCCACGCTAGCAACACGCAACCGTAGTGGAGGGGATACGCACACAAGCGAAAACCGTGTATATGTAATGCGCAGAGCGTTCTGCGCATTACATATACACGGTTTTCGCTTGTGTGCGTATCCCCTCCACTACGGTAGCGTGTTGCTGGCGTGGGCATTCTGGCATCACTGCTTGATACGTCTCATATACGCATGCACGCACATACGCATTGTCTCTCAAGGCGTATTTGCACACTCAAGCGAATAATCGTACATGAGCGCTGCAAACGCGCCTTGAGGGACAAACTCGCTTTGTGTGTGTGCGTGCGAGCATACGTACGTGAGAGTCTGAAACTGAAACTGAACCTTATTATGATAATGATGGAAAACGAAAAATGTCACATTTCTGGTATACGATTATCATTCCTCAGGATTGACTGCACCAATCTTATTCAAACTGGTCGCAATCGAAAGCTTGCATCCACATTGTATCAGAAAAGTGCCGTTAGATTTTTGATTAACGGCTTGGTTCCTGAGGAATTTTAATCGAAAGTTTATTAGACGTAAAACTCCGGATAAGCTACTTGCTAGTGTCGCGGCCCCTGTACATAGGCAACATAGGCAAACCGTTGACAAGCCGAAACATTTTTTTTATATACTTGACGTCGCGACGCTACCGTTTTTTTTCTTACTTTTGGCACTTGTACAGACACTTGCTCAGTTACACTCATATCTTCTTTTTCTCTTTGCCCATTCTTCTCTGTCCATCTCTTTCTTATCCGAGCATACTACATATGTGTTATAAATTATCTACATGTATGTATATGTTTGTGTATATGTAATAGTAACTTTAAATTTATTAAAATATCATTAATCTTTTGCTTATTTGTATATTTCACTGAAAATTGATAATATTTATTTTGCAATAGTAGTGTCACAGTAGTTAGTTAGCCAGAGGCGATCAATTCGTGATCTGGTTGTTGAAAGAAATATTTCCCGCCAAATGCGTTTTGCATGTGCGTTTTTGTTGAAGAATATATCCCAGAAGCGATCAATTAACTACAAAGTTTAACACATAATCAACTTTCTTCTCCAAGATTTCAAAATGTATTTAAATATAGTTGGTACAAAAGTTGATATTTATCAACGCGGCCTGAAAAGTTTGATAATCCAATAAATTTTTGTTATTTTAAAGAAGAAAAATATATACCAAAATGCAGTATTTGTGGTAAAATAGCTCTCATACGTTGTGCATGGTGCAAAGAATATTTTTGTTTTGAACATTTCTTTGAACAATATCATTATTGTAACAATTACATAGAATAAATAATAATTTGAAAGGTAAATATAGCGAATAGGAGACCCAGCCCCAATGACCTTGACCTTGACATATGTTGTCAAAGACATAATT